GATCCCACCCGGATCCACCTTTTACGGAAAGGGAGGATCCTGCCCAGATCCAGGAGTACCCTTTAAGGGCCGGACTAGATTTCGCAACCAACAAGGGAATGTTATAGACATATTCAAGTAAGAGAGTGTGGATTATAATAGCTTACGCAAAAAGGCTAGCTCGACCCAGTTCCCAGTCGCTAGTTACTGCTACGAAACGAATCCACGAAGACTGAAACTGGGGGCGTGGCATCAAAGAGTGATGAGGATCAGGTAGTCTTGGGCTGAACGTTGAAGAACTTGCCCACTAGACGCTGGATCTGGCGTCCTGGGTGCTGGCTCAAGTCCCCGCGAAACTGGATACGCCAAGGCTCGGCTTCGTCGATCTCTCGCAAGGCTTCCAATAGGCTCGTGGGTTCTGGGCAATGGAGGTTGGGATCCTCCAAGTTGGCTTGACGGGATACGGATCCCGGAAACCAAGCCACCTTATCCCCGCGTCGGGGAAGATGCAAGAAGGATGGATCCAGCAAAATATCCACGTCACACCAACCGTCCTGGATTGCTCACACGAGGATCACAAGGACTCTTTTCCAAGCTCGGCCCGCATGGCTACGTCGGTTACCACGCTGCTTGTTGAAGTTGGACAACCAAGTCGAACCCTGCAGTTGATTCCGAGAGATGGGGAACCGGTGAGTGCCCTCCCATATAGCAACTCGGTGCTTGGAAGCGAAATCCCGGAACGCCCGAACAAATACCCCGAGTCGCCCACGCACATCACCCCTGAAGCTAACCGGATCCACCGGTGTGGTGACCAGCGTATCCCACGGGGCAGCACTTGTCAGTTTTTCCACGAGAGGTCTGGTGATGAGTGAATCCACGTACCCGGCCCTCGGGATGGCGTCCGCTGTCCGAGGGAATATCCACTCAGCCCGAAAAGGCAACTCCGGAAACAGGACCGTGATCTTCATGGAGATGACCGCGACTCGGTTCAATTTCTTGGCTGACCAAGGCTCGATGTCTCTGGTAGCGAAGGCCACGGGAGCACGTCTACCAGGAATGAAAGCGGCATCCGGACCAAACGGAGCCACGGGGAGCATCCCTGGCAGTGACGAGTTAGGGGGAGCGGGGATCAAGACGGATCCAGGGGATCCGCCACCGTGAGGCGATCCCGGGGATCCGCTACCATGAGGCGATCCTCTCCCACCATCACTACCCGATCCGCCGTCACTGTCGACTTGGATCGCGGATCTCGCAGTGTCGCCTCCGGATCCGGCTGTGCCAGCGACTTGTGGAGGCGGCGGCGAGAGGGATCTCCGCCGGGCTTCGGACCGGGACTGGGACAGAGCCCGTCGCGTGTCTTCCTCCAAGGCATCCGCAGCGGCTTGAGCCCCCTCTGAATCCTCTGGTTTCCAGTCGTCATCGTCGTCGTCGTCGTCGTCCTCATCGCTCAGAGTGAAGGGATACGGGCCGGAAGACGACGTATGCTTTGACGACGATCGGTAAGGAGGCCCTGAGCCGTCAGACCAGTCTGACTCCTCATCCTCGTCGTCCTCCGAGCTGCCAAGTCCACATCCCGGGGGAATAACACGTTTAGCTTTCCCCTTCCCGGGTCCAGCACGGGCTGGCGGATGGCCGATGGAGGCTGGCCGGGGAACGGCCGGCGTCGTCACCGAAGGACCGGCGGTGGATCCCGTCTTGGACGTAGATCCCGTTTTGGCCGTCGATCCGGACTTGGACACCGCTGATCCTGTTTTGGATGGGGCAACGGATCCAGTCTTGGACGCCGTAGACCCAGTCTTGGGTCCGGATCCAGATTTTGACGTAGCAGCAGTAAATCCAGCCTTGGATCCCACTCCCGCTTTGGACGTAGCGGCAGATCCAGTCTTGGACGCCGAGGTAGACTTGGATCTAGCGGTGGATCCAGACTTGGATCCGGCACCCAACTTCGAGGGGGAAGCGGAAGTCTTGGACGCGGGTGTAGATCCCGCCTTAGACACCGAAGTGGATCCCGCTTGCGGAGCCGATTTAGAAGTGGATCCCGCTTGCGGAGCCGATTTAGAGACCGGAGTCGTTTTGGGCTTGGTTTTCGGGGAAGCTCGGGCCTGCTTATGGGGACGGGAGGATCTGGTGCTAGGAGCAGGAGATGCACTACGCGGGCGTTTCGCAGCCGACGAATCCGCCCCACTTACAGTCGGAAGAGGAGCAGAGACGCTAGCAGCCTGAGAGGGCCCCGACAAGGGGGGAATTGGATCCGAAACGGCAGCTGTCACCAGCGCCAGTCGTCGACGTGCCGAATCCCGCTCCGACAAGCCACGATCGCGCTCCAGGATCAGCTGTTGCTGCTGAGTTTGGGCTGCGGAGAGTTGATCCTGGGGTTTCGCGGTGGTCGCATCTGCTTCCTTCAATTTGTCACCTAGATTGACAATAACAAGTGAATATGGAGTTACTAGCAAAGGCTAAAAGAGGATCCACGTACTCGTGCGGCGAAGTTTGGATTCCAGCTCCGTTTGCGTACGCTTGGCATCCGCCCACTCGGTAGCCGCCTTGTCCCGCTGGAGTTCGCTGTCCGCCAGTTTCGCTTGGATCTCGTCGCGCAATCGAGTCATACACACGAATTCTTCAAGCGCGTAATCTCGTCCGGCAGACGCCCTCTCGAGCGACTCCTTGGTGTCTTGCAGCTCCCTCGAGAGTTGAGCTAGGGCTACATCCGGCGATGAGGGAGGTGGATTTGGCGCGGGGGACCCTCCACGCGCCGACCCTAAGGCGGATCCGCCATGGGTGGATCCCACATAGTCGTTGGTCACCACCTCCTCTTGGGTCAGACGCAACTCGTCACGGAGTCGATCCAAGCTCGCATCCGCGGCTGCCCCAGCAGTCTGAGAATCCTCCAGATCTCGCTCGAGGTCGTGGATCCGGGATTGGAGTTGGTGGATCTCAGAACCGGCGAGTGCCATCTCCCTATGGAGATGGTCGTTGTCATCTCGCATAACGTCTCGTTGACGGGAGGCGCGATCCAGCCGTCCGGTCAGGTCGCGGATCTCGACCGCCTGATCAGCCAACAGGAGTCGCAGGTCCTGCGACCGAGAGGCCGCACGGTGCTCCCATCCCTGGATCTCCATAGCCTGGTCATGGACTTGGGCCCGCAAGGTCTGAAGTTGGGTAGCGTGTAGGGACGCAGCTTGGTCTTGGGCATCTTGAGCCGTCTGGAGCTCCGCCGTCAGGGTTTGCACCTGATCGGAAAGAGCCTGGGCTAAAACCCGCAGATCGGTGGGCGACATGGAAGACGGACTGACCGGAGGGGTGGTGGATGGGGCCTTGCCCGGCGATTTGCCGGTACGCTTGGCGGGAGACATGTGTCACGAAGAGGAGAAAGCGGGTGTGGATGTTGGTAATGCACGCCGTGAACGCTGTTGTGCAGCGCCGACAACGTACAGGAGGCGATTGTGGTGAAGTGCTTTCTCAGAAATAAGAGAATCGGCCTGACGCGGGGTCACTATCCCGGATCAGTGACAATTTCAAGTGATTAGAGAG